CGCATTTTTTGGCTGAACATTTTGCACTGTCTGACTAAGTACTGTAAGACATCGTCGTTCTCCACAATGTTCAATAATTTGTAAAACGAATATATTTCTTTTTAGAGTTGCAGACTAAGTTGTAATTGTATAAATCCCGATAATACGTAAAAGGCCAATTGACATGTAATGTGATAGGTGACACTTAACATAGATCGGAAAGTAAAAAACTAAATATAACCTGATTTACTAATTGTTTGCTCCTTTTGCTAAACAAACAAGCCTATTTTATCATTGGATCGAGCCTTAAATTCATGAAATCAAGCAGTTGGAAATATATGATAATTTCAGACAATCCTGGCAAAAATTATCGTGGACAGCGCGTGCGTCATACAAAAATAGATATATTTCTACATAATTAATCCACCAGAAAATTTCTCTCCCTCCTACCCCCAACTCAATGTTGGTAAATGAAACTTTTAAAATTTGAATAAGGGGCAGGGGGTGACAAATTTCACGAAAGAACGTCTCAATGTTAATATTGGCGTTAGGAAAGTTAGGTGTCCACATAATTTTTGCCAGGATTGTAGCATAGACTGAGTTGATTGAGACTCATTAGGTGTATCAGCCTTAGAATTCCCACAAGAGTATTCATCATTGATAATCTTGATGGTCGTTACTAGAGATGTTTTCTCGTCTTCGAGATCTTTGATTTTTGTGTTTAGATCTGATACGATATAGGACACAGTATTTAGTTTGTCTGTTAAGAGCAGATTTTGCTATTTTAATCTACCATTTTCGTTTTCGAGTGCATTTGTATACCGCTTGGAATCCTCAGTCATTAACGATTGTTTAAAATCATTAAAGTCATTAGAAAGGACATCAACCTTGTCGAGAAATTTAGCCTTGAGGTTTCTGATTTGGTCATCTATATCAAGGAACCTTTTAAAGACAGTATTTTCAGCATAAGATAAATATGTACCCAGATTGGACTGGTTGTCAGCTATTTTAGGCTCTGAAACGGTATCTTTACGACGTTGTTTGTCCCATAAATCATCTTCAGCTTCCTCTATTTCATTTACAGATTGGTCAACGTTAATCGGTTGACTAGACTTTGATGCAAACTCATTCGTAAGGTCTTCGCAGTCTCTTGGTTTTTCATTTGCTTTCCCCGAGTTAGAGCTTCTAGTAAGCGGCATATTGATTAATATTCTTTACTTCTATTTAAAACGTTAGACTTTAACAGAAAATAAGGAGCTCTTCAACACACGACCGGCGAGTTCGAACGTTTAGCCTATATAATGAGCCTATATACTTGATGATCTGACGTATTAGCCTATATACTTGATGTATTAGCCTATATACTTGACAATATCGTCATTGTGCTGCCTTTGGAATACACTTAAGTTTGAACAATTATCTTGATGATCTCGTCATCCCTGCTGTTGTTGGAATATACTTAACTTTGAACAATTGCCTTGATGATCTCGTCATCCCTGTTGTTGTTGGAACATACTTAACTTTGAACATTTAACTTGATGATCTCGTCATCCCTGCTGCTGTTGGAATATACTTAACTTTGAACAATTGCCTTGATGATCTCGTCATCCCTACTGTTGTTGGAACATACTTGACTTTGAACATTTAACTTGATGATCTCGTCATTGTGCTGCCTTTGGAATATACTTAACTTTGAACAATTATCTTGATGATCTCGTCATTGTGCTGCCTTTGGAATACACTTAAGTTTGAACAATTATCTTGATGATCTCGTCATCCCTGCTGTTGTTGGAATATACTTAACTTTGAACAATTGCCTTGATGATCTCGTCATCCCTGTTGTTGTTGGAACATACTTAACTTTGAACATTTAACTTGATGATCTCGTCATCCCTGCTGCTGTTGGAATATACTTAACTTTGAACAATTGCCTTGATGATCTCGTCATCCCTACTGTTGTTGGAACATACTTGACTTTGAACATTTAACTTGATGATCTCGTCATTGTGCTGCCTTTGGAATATACTTAACTTTGAACAATTATCTTGATGATCTCGTCATTGTGCTGCCTTTGGAATACACTTAAGTTTGAACAATTATCTTGATGATCTCGTCATCCCTGCTGTTGTTGGAATATACTTAACTTTGAACAATTGCCTTGATGATCTCGTCATCCCTGCTGCTGTTGGAATATATTTAACTTTGAACAATTGTCTTGATGATCTCGTCATCCCTGCTGCTGTTGGAATATACTTAACTTTGAACATTTAATTATCCTGATGATCTCGTCATCCCTGCTGCTTTGGAATATACTTAACTTTGAACATTTAACTTGATGATCTCGTCATTGTGCTGCCTTTGGAATATACTTAACTTTGAACCATTATCTTGATGATCTCGTCATCCCTGCTGTTGTTGGAATATACTTGACTTTGAACAATTGCCTTGATGATCTCTTCATCCCTGCTGTTGTTGGAACATACTTAACTTTGAACATTTAACTTGATGATCTCGTCATCCCTGCTGCTGTTGGAATATACTTAACTTTGAACAATTGCCTTGATGATCTCGTCATCCCTACTGTTGTTGGAACATACTTGACTTTGAACATTTAACTTGATGATCTCGTCATTGTGCTGCCTTTGGAATATACTTAACTTTGAACAATTATCTTGATGATCTCGTCATTGTGCTGCCTTTGGAATACACTTAAGTTTGAACAATTATCTTGATGATCTCGTCATCCCTGCTGTTGTTGGAATATACTTAACTTTGAACAATTGCCTTGATGATCTCGTCATCCCTGCTGCTGTTGGAATATATTTAACTTTGAACAATTGTCTTGATGATCTCGTCATCCCTGCTGCTGTTGGAATATACTTAACTTTGAACATTTAATTATCCTGATGATCTCGTCATCCCTGCTGCTTTGGAATATACTTAACTTTGAACATTTAACTTGATGATCTCGTCATTGTGCTGCCTTTGGAATATACTTAACTTTGAACCATTATCTTGATGATCTCGTCATCCCTGCTGTTGTTGGAATATACTTGACTTTGAACAATTGCCTTGATGATCTCTTCATCCCTGCTGTTGTTGGAACATACTTAACTTTGAACATTTAACTTGATGATCTCGTCATCCCTGCTGCTGTTGGAATATACTTAACTTTGAACAATTGCCTTGATGATCTCGTCATCCCTGCTGTTGTTGGAACATACTAAACTTTGAACATTTAACTTATGATCTCGTCATTGTGCTGCATTTGGAATATACTTAACTTTGAACAATTATCCTGATGATCTCGTCATCCCTGCTGCTGTTGGAATATACTTAACTTTGAACATTTAATTATCCTGATGATCTCGTCATCCCTGCTGCTTTTGGAATATACTTAACTTTGAACATTTAACTTGATGATCTCGTCATCTCTGCTGCTGTTGGAATATACTTAACTTTGAACAATTGTCTTGATGATCTCGGCATCCCTGCTGTTGTTGGAACATACTTAACTTTGAACATTTAACTTGATGATCTCGTCATTGTGCTGCATTTGGAATATACTTAACTTTGAACAATTATCCTGATGATCTCGTCATCCCTTCTGCTTTTGGAATATACTTAACTTTGAACATTTAACTTGATGATCTCGTCATCCCTGCTGTTGTTGGAATATACTTAACTTTGAACAATTGCCTTGATGATCTCGTCATCCCTGCTGTTGTTGGAACATACTTAACTTTGAACATTTAACTTGATGATCTCGTCATCCCTGCTGCTGTTGGAACATACTTAACTTTGAACATTTAACTTGATGATCTCGTCATCCCTGCTGCTGTTGGAATATACTTAACTTTGAACATTTAACTTGATGATCTCGTCATCCCTGCTGCTATTGGAATATACTTAACTTTGAACATTTAACTTGATGATCTCGTCATTGTGCTGCCTTTGGAATATACTTAACTTTGAACAATTGTCTTGATGATCTCGTCATCCCTGCTGCTGTTGGAATATGTTCGGTACTTTGATTAACATACTGGTTGGTTACAATGCATGGTTATGTCATGGTGCATATGTAATTGATGTGGAGTATTTTTATTCATTTACATGGGAGAGGCGGCGCATAATCAGTTTTTGACTGTGTTTTCCACTGTAAAAAAGTGATTATGCCTCTACTTTCCATTATTCTTGATTGGATTGTGGAGGATGGTGCGTAGTAAGTATATATTGTGAATTTCTCTGTGAAGGTAAGGTGAATGTTTTGTTTTGGTATACAGTAGCTCATGTAAAGTAATTTGACTTCATTTTATAAAAGTGACATAGTTATGTTGCTTTTGAAAAATTTAGCCCAAATTTTCAACATTTTTTGTTGAAAATGTGGAAATTAGTACCACGATTTCAAAGTCGAAATTTGAATAAAATGTTTGCTCAGAACGCAGGAAATCGCATTTCCGAGGTTCTAGATTCCAAAATTTTCCAGGGGGGATATTCCCCTCTACTTATATACCCCCTATTTATGCGAGTATTATGCAATAATGCATCAGTCAGGCAAAATCGTGGATCCGTGCCTGCTCAACCATGAAATATTACAATCCAGAGATCTTGAGAATGGACTTGCACAAGATGTATTCAAATTAAAAGAATCAATCAAGAAATATTGCTGCCCGGGAGCAGGGAATATATCCATCATGTTAATGAAGAGATTGCACTTTTGAGAGCAGAGAAGAAATAAAAGAAACAAAAAATCAATCTAATGTATATAATGTCGGGATTGAACACGAAGTTAAAAACAGTTGAGGAAGAAAAGAACTTAATCGCGGCAGTTAAAATATTACAAGAGAATGAACTTGAAGGTGATCCAAATAGTATGCAAGACATATAATGTATGTAGAAATAATCAGCATAAACCTTGGCCATCAGAACCATCTGTGATGCTAATCCAGAATAGTGATAAGGATGTTGTAATGACGAATAGATTTGATCAAACTTGGCCGATGAAGCGTCATATGATTCTATCCAACATAGTCTATATGCTAAACGACCTGAGGAAGTGCATGAAAATCGACAATCACCTGGCGCAAATGTCCAAAGAAATCAAATAGTCTAGGACCTGTATACGAGTTTGTATGCATTTCACTTAGGACAGACAATCTCAACTGTTTTAAGGCAAGTTGACCATGATGGTCGACATAGTAACGCTGCCCGAACCCCAATCCGAAACTGACCACACCCAAAAATGACGCTGTCGCCATAGTGCTATCTACCAAACCATAAAAGCTTTGGCTATTCTGAGGTGCTTATATGGTTCAGAGATGGTGCTTTTAGGGGCGGTCATTGGTAAGTGTGAAATGCCTAAGACTGATATTTCACAAGAAAATGACCATGCAATACTCATAGTCATACGTCAATTTGTGACTACTCTGCTGGCAGTGGTTTCTGAGCTGAGGAGAAACCACTGCGAGCAAACAAACAACTTTCTATCGAGCATGCACGAAGATCACGTGATGCAACGTCACCAAGTTTACGTCACTTCCTGTAGCTCAGTGAAAACCACTGAGCTATATACTGTCAAAACTCAAGTGTCAAACTTGTTTACTCCATCAGGCTCGCCAAAGGCAAAGCGCGATGATTTTATAAATTCGCCACAGACTCCAACAAAAATCCAGTCACGCTCAGTTGACATTAATTATTGTCTTATTTGTGGAATATATCTAAAAAAGAACGACAGTTTTTATAGCCTTTTTAAGAAGGGTCTGTTGGTGACATTAAACGAAAGATTGGGAACAAATATATTACCACCAAGTAACAGAAAAGATCGGCGGCGAGTATGTAAGAGTTGTTTTAGACGCTCTGAAATCATTGTCTGCAAGAGAAAGGTATTAAAAGAGTTGAAAAGAGAATTTAGAGGAAAATTTGCATCGGTTTCACATGCTTCGAGTACAAAGCGTCTCGCGAAATGTAGTCCGCATGTTCGGGAATCGAAAAAAAATGCACTGAAATTAACAAAGAATTAAGCGCCCGACAAACTAGCTTGTTTTCCATCAAATCGACCACTATAGAGAACGATGGTACTCCAATCCTTGAATGCTTTAACTTGAATGCAAAACTTAATTTTCCTGAGGTGACCCCCCTCTCACATCGCTATTTTTTCTGGTGGCCCCCCGTGCAAAAATCACCAGCCTCTTCCCCCTTC